TAGGTGTAGTATTGAACCGGACGACAGTACAGCTGTCTACCACCAAATTCGGGTGGCAGTGGCGGGGCTCGAACCTAGGACTATAGGGTCCAAGGCACGCCTGTGACAGCGACTAAACCACTGCGCCACCACCACCACCACCACTGGAGGATATGAAGGCGAATCAGCAACAGTGGCGTTCGTTGTAACTTCGCACGGAGGATAGAATGTATGAAAAGATGTGCATAAACAGTTGGATTGAGTGCCCTGTATTCATTGAAGAGCTACGCTTGCAAAACCCTTACCCCTCGGTTGCCTCCTTCAATATTTTGCATGCATTGTGAGCTTGGCGGCGATCATGAAGAAATCATGGAACGGCCGCCAGATCATTGTATAATTTGTTTTGCTGTTATGCTAAGCACATTGCTTCCGTAATCCGATTACTAAACGTACTCTACAAGTAGAATGAAATTAATGAATAATTAATAACAGGGCCAGGTGTCTGACATGCTTTACTGGCGTCGGTGGACTGGAGCATGACCGGAAATACCTCTTCACTATGTGATTAATCACTACCTTCAAAAGACGATCCGCCGGAAAGCAAGCAAAATTCGCTGTGATCATTTTAGAGCGTTATGGAAAATCCATGAACCCTATAACAGAACAGCAAACAAAAACATGGGTTTGTGCAGTGTTGTTTGTAAAAAGATCGGTAGTTTTGTTGGGATGCGAACCCACGCACGGACGCTTTACCAAGTGAACTAAGGTACCACATTAAGATTTATCTTCTCACAATTTAAATATTTATTTCCTTCTTGCTTTGACGGGAAGTACACAGCGCATTGCTAGATCCTTTCCACTGTCTTGCGGGTTAAACTTTTGGGTCAAGAGTTCCAGCAGGGGTTCCCAGAGAAAAGCATCTTTGTCGATGTGAGCTCCCGCGACGTATGTCGTGCTCTAAAGCATCCGGCATCCGGCATCGCTCGCTCCCAAACTATACGAAAACTCACGTTTTAGCTTTTCATGGGAAATCGCCGTGTTTGATCACGGAGGTAAATTAGTCGGAAGCTTTGGGATTGATAAAGCAAAAATATCTTCCTCTTGTTAGCAGCAGTCAATATATGTACAAACTATCAGATCGCTCAACAAGCTTCCTCAGTTTGAATCACTGAAACTTTCAATTTATACTTGTGCCACGTCTCCGAAACAAGCATTATCATCATAATCACAATCATCGTACGGCGAAATACAGGGACGCGAACTTCATTGATCGCTGCCAATCTCGCAATGCAAATTTCAGGTAGATAGGGATTGGACCTATTTTGGGGGAGCGAAAAGAAAGTGAACCTCTATGGTCAACACAGAGTACAAAATCGAACTCTACACACATGCCGTTTCAAGCATTCTGGCCTGATAAGAAATGACAAGAACGCCACTGCTGTCGGTTGGCTGCCGTACCCTTCAATGTCTCCAACCAACCCCAACCTGGAAGGCGAGACACCTACTCTACCTAATGGCTCTGTGCATTTCTTCATGCCTCGTTTCCACGTCATCTGTTGACTTCCACGTGGTTTCCTCCATCCCGGAGCGGCTATAGCGAATAAAGTGCGGTGCGGTAGACGACAGCTGGACATACGCAATACATGCTCTAAGCAACGAAGCCTGTTAATCCCTGATACACTCGAAAACACAACTGCTAATCTCCAGTTTACTAACGCGATCGTACCATCACACGTGAGCTTCACTACGTAAACACCGATAATCGAAAACTTATAATAGATGGATATCTGCTCGAAAAGTCAAGGTCTTAGAGCCATAAAGCAGAACTGAACGAACGGTAGCACAATATCGACGACATTTCAGCTTCAGTGAAACGTCGCGTCTACGCCTCAGGGTATTTCAGTATACAAGATCCTAGCACCAATATCAGTGTTCTTCAGGTCCAGCGTCAACCCATCACTTGACCCTCCGTGTCAAATGATTCTGAATCCGACGCTTATGGTATTGACGGTGTTGAGATTAGGATGTGCTAATGTTGAGTGCCACCCTTTACTCAGTTCTAATCCATAACTCACTGCGCTGGACGCCTCAAGGGGACAATAGGGATCAACAACTACAAGACGAAGTCCGTGTCTGCACTGACTGACTGCAGTACGTCATCATCATAAAGCGAAATACAGTGAAGCGAACTTCGCTGATCGCTGCCAAACTCACAATGCATACAAGGTCAGTGATAAAATTTAAGGTGGACAGAGATTGGATCTATTTTGAGGGTGGGAAAAGGTGAGCCACTATGGTCAGCACACAGAGTACGCAATCGAACTCCGCATACATATCGTTTCAAGCATTCTGACCTGATAAGAAACGACAAGAACGCCACTGCTGCCGGTTCGCTGCCATATCCTTCAATGTCTCCAACCAACCAGTTGTGGAGTCTTTCCGACC